ATGTAAATTATGGGGCAGAGGCAGCTGGAGGAGCAACAAGTAGCCTGAGACGCGGGGCCAGAGGACCAGGGTGGTGCCCGAGGAGCGGGGCCAGAGGACGGGGCTGGACCAGAGGGACAGGGGCAGAGGACCAGGGCGGGGCCCGAGGGGTGGGGCTAGGGAGGCCTGAAACATTAACCTGGCTAGCCTGTGCTTTCTTAGAGATGTGGGGAGGGTCATCCTGGACATGGCAGCGCCCCAGCCTTTCCTCCACTGTCTTGAAACTTCCAGTAACTGTGAGCTAAATAAACTGTGAGCTTTCCTTCCCTCATTTTGAGTGTCAGGTATTTGTCCCAGCAACAAGAGAAGAGTAAGACAAGGTTTTAGCCTATACTCAGCTGACCCCCCGCCCCCAGCACCATGGCATATGGCAGAGAGCAGCAGTTGATGACAGCAGAAAACAGCAAAGAGCAAAGGGAAGGGCAGCAGTTGTCTCTTCTAGTCAGCCTTTCTCCCATCCTTATATTATAAACAAGCTACCCTGGCAGTTGGGGTGTAGAACTCACACGATGTCTGTGCCCTCCTCTGACACAGGATGAGACTGTTTACAAACTAAGAATCCTGGCTCTCTGCTGAGTCACTTAATCAAACTTCTAAACTTCTCAGGCTGACAAAGTGACTCAATCAGTACACTCACTCTTTTCTAAAACTGATTTAAAGAGCAGTAGACAAAGACAAGAATTGACTGGCTTCATGTGTGTGCTAGGGTGAAGTGATGAAGTTTACACACTTCTAGGAAACACAGAGTAGAGTGGAAGTCTTGGCCCCACAATTAGCAAGCAAAATGTTCCTGGATGAGTAGATCTGAGTCTGTTTCTTCACTGTAAAATAAAGATTAAAAACATAGTACTTGCCTCATAAAAGTTTTGTGATAATTGAGGCACTCTATGATTACCTTAGTGTGTTTAGTTTTTGGTAGTTGTCATACTTTATATCTAGATGTCCCCTCAAAGTCACTTATGCCCACAGATGGGGTTTCTGAGGGTGACTGAATCACAGGGGTGAGATACCCAACAGTGGACAAACAAGTTTATAGCTAAAAGTGATGTGCAGGGTGAAGTCTTGTTGGAGAAGGTGGATCACTGGGGCTGTTCCTGGGAGAATGCATCTCCATCCACCCTTCAGCCCTCTCTCTCTGCTTCCTCTCTACCGTGCCATGAGCTGATTCTCCTCTGCCATGCCTAGCTTCTGGGAGCCAGCTGATCATGGACTGAAACCTCTACAAACTGTGAGCCAAAATAAACCTTCTCTCCGTTACGTTGTGAGTGTCAGGCATTTTGTTCCAGGGATGCGAAAATAACTATTACAGATTTTGGTACCACAGAAATGCCATCATTCCTATGGCGCTGCCTGTGATTTAGAAGCCTTTGGATCTGGCTTTCAGGAGGAGTCTGGAGTGGTTTGGAGATGCCGGATAGAGCAGAGTCCTAGAATATTGTGGGCCAGGTTTCAAGGGAGATTCTGTTTGGAGATAAGACCAGAAAGTTGACAGTACTGCATCTGGCAAAAACCAGGCTCAAGAGATTTCAGTTGGGAAGGACTCCACCAGCAGTTGGTCTCCCAGCTACATGTGTTATGCTCTGAGATTAATGGTGGTAAACTAATTAATCTGGCAGGCAAAATTTCAAGACATCTAAACATTCAGGCTGTGAAATGGGTACTGCTGGGGGGCTTTAAGCCAGCTACACATTGAGAGTCAAGAGCAAATGGCTCAGCAGAATGATCTAAAAGGTTTTGAATTTGGCCAGAAAGGAAGCTCTGGTAAAGCTGGGACCTGCAAAGGTGCAGCAAAACAGAGTCTGGTTGCTGAAAGGATTGGCTTTAAAAAGAAGCAAAGTACCGTAGAATAGGACAATGGTGAAAATGGCTCGAGTATGTGAGGAACCATTAAGCTCTCATTCAAAGGTTTAAAACTGAAAAAGTGAAGACTCTGGTTTGAGAATCAAGGCCCCGAATACTGTGGCACAGAATGCAGCCAGTGTAGTGAGTGGGAAGCGACTCCCTGTGATTCTGCTGCAGATGTTCAGATATCCAGGTACTGAGAGCCCTCTGCAACCAGCAGCAAGATACAAAAAGCCTCAGCTACTGCTTGAGCTGGCAGCAGACCTTGACATCAGCCACATGATGCTTGTGTTAGGTGCATGCAGAATGCAAGAGTTATGGGAGGGAGCATTAAGCCTCTGGGAGGCTTCTACCCTGATTTCAGAAGATGACCTTAGGAGCCAGGCAGTGTATTTCTCAGAGGATAACGTGTGAGGTTGTGTGATTAACATAGACAATGTAGTGGTGAACCTGGGATGTTAGCAAAGCCAAATATGGAAATTATCAAGGTAAAGGTGCAAGGGATAAGCAAAGGTGGTCCAGGAGAGAAGCCCTGAAGGCTACAAACACCAAGGCAATGGTAAAGGGATGGGGTTGCCCATGCCCTTTGAAATTCATGTTTTGTCACAGACTGCCCTAGGTGCTGGAGGTGGACCTACTCTTTATTTGTTTTTTTTTTTTTGGATCTCCTTATTTATACCTTTTGGAATAGGAATGTTTATCCCATTCCATCATTTGTTCGAGCTATTTATCATTTCTATGGCAGCTCACAGCTAAAAGTTTGTTCTAAATCTCAGGAAGACTTAGGACTTGGATTTTTCAGCAAGTCTGAAACAATTAGGACTTTTGCAACTCTTAAGAGGTAGACTAAATACATTTTGTACAGGGTTGTAAAAAGGCTGTTTTGGAGGTCAGGGCTGGACTGCTACAGTTTATATTTAGATGTCTTCTCAAAGTCTCACAGACTGACAGGTGGACCTTGTGGGAGGTTACTGGATCATGGAGCATGGTATGATACCCATCAATGGATGAGTTTATAAGTAAATGTGATGCCGTGAGGTGAAGTATGGTTGGAGAAGGAGGGTCACAAAGGGCATTGCCTGGAAGGGTGTGTCTCCCTCCCTCCTGCCTTGATCCCTCTCTCTGCTTTCTCTCTGCCATGCCATGAGCTGATGGTTCTCTGATTTGGTCCTCTACCAAGCTATCCTGTCTTAAGAGCCAGGAAACTATGGACTGAAACCCCCATGAACTATGAGCCAAAGTAAACCTTTCTTCCTTTAAATTATGGATGTTAGTTATTTTGTTCCACAAATGGCAAAGTAACTACAGGTTAGGCAGTAGTTTTTATGATCATGATTCTTGGTGGCAAAATTTTGCTCTGTTATTAGGGTAAAAGATCATGGAAGGCAGGGCTTTTCTTATGTCTTATCACCTAATAAAATAAGTATTTCCTAAGCTGTTGAATTTAACAAAGAGCCAGTTTTCTGTGTTATCCTAGATATTATTATGGAATTTCTCTTTTGCAATAAAACAGTTCAGTACTGTCTTCATTACTTTATAACTTTTTAAAAGCAAATATCTTTTACATGAAAGCATGATTTTGTAAGAAATTCTATTCTCAGGCTCCATTTGAATCCTTAGCATTTAAATGTTATGGTCAACAAAGAGATGAAAGACTTTAAAAACACATTTCTGTATTTTCAACTCTATTCTTCATAAACATCTTTGGAAAACAATTTAGTCACATACCACATAGTAGCTAGACCAGAACATTATTAGAGAAGTACTTTCTTAAAAGAACAAAACTAAGTATGTTAAGATATCCAGAATTCATTCATGTATTCAACATATATTGCTATATATTTCACACAAAAAAATGAGGGAGTTTAGAAGCTTGTACATTTTTGAGTTATTTTTCAGTATATACTTCTTTAAAATCCAGGACCACTAAGTTTCTACAAGTTTAGAGAAAACTGTTAATTACCCAGATTAACCTAGGTAAAGTTAGAAGAGGAAGGACTTTTTTAAAACAACTTTTAAGTTTTCTCATAGGATTTTAGAAATCCTATGAGAAACTTAAATTTTAGTGATTGTACTCTATCTCAAGGGTTGTACATCATTTGTTTTAGTTATCAGACTGCAATACTGAGGGCAATAATCATGCCTCTACCAGCGTCTGGCAAGTCACTGGTGTTTAATTCGATTCCTTTAATGAATGAATGAGTGTAGCAGAAAACACTTCACACAGGCAGTGAGACAAGGCCAATCTGCCACATTTCCGCGGGATTGACTGAAAATCATGGTATCTTTGAGAGACGAACTACGATGACTGGACTTCAAATGTCTCACACAAGAACGGCAAATATTATAATCCATTCCTTTAGTGGTCATTAATCTGCAGTTCAAGATAATTCGATACTGGTTTACCTGAAATTCATGCCTGCACGATTAACGAAAGCGGCTATCCATGACTTCTTCAATGCGCAGACGGTTGCAGCCAGCCTACTTGACATTTTCAAGAAAGTTACAAAAGCTCGGGTGCAGTCGGACGTCCTAATAGTTTCATCCAGCTGGTAAAATCTGCTGCGGGGCTGCGCACTTCTGCAAAGGACTTCTGCGCTGCGGCGGAGCAGCCGGCGGGAGGATGGCGGGCGGCGCTGGCTCCCCGAGGCGCGCGGACATGAGGCCTCCCCTGCCGCCTCACAGGCCGCACCGTCAGGAAAGCACTGCGCAAAACAGCGGACGGCCATCGCGCATCTGCCAGGCCTGCACGCCTGCACCGAAACGGGCCGCCTCACACCCAGGCGCCCAACCGTGGCGCCTGCTGAAAGCATGGCGAGCCTCCCGCGCGGTCTCACAGGGCGGCAGAGAACTTCCGCCTGCGGGCCAGCGCTCGCTTCCCACCAAGCGTCGCCAAGCGGCTCTGTCGGTGCATGCGCGGCTCTGTTGGCGCATGCGCGGCTCTGTCGGCTCATGCGCGGCTCTCTGGGGCGCATGCGCCATCGCTGTCCGCCGGCCCGCCCGCGCGGGGGCGCCCTGTGAGTGGCGCCCGCGTCCCTTTCCGCTCCTCCCCGCCGCCAGCTGCCCAGCGCCCTCCTCATGCCCCGCCCCAGCCCGGGCTCGCCTGAGGCCTGCGCCACCGTCACTCTGGGCCTGAAGCGCGTGCGGCCTCCTGGATCCTCCGAGCAGCCGCGCGGGGCTTGCTGGGTAGGTGCTGCGCAGGGCGAGACGCGCTCGGGTCTGCGAGGTCCGCGCGGGCGGCCTGCGGGCCAGCGCCAGGCGGCCCTGGGTGCGGAGCCAAGGCCCTGCCGGATAGGCCAGCGGGGCGCTGGACGCTGCTGGCTGCACCCTCGGGACAGGGGGTGGGCTAGAAAGGGCGAGGAGGGGCGGCGGCTCCGCGGAACACGAGGCGGGCGCCCTGGGCTGCGGGAGAGCGAGGTGAGGAGCTGCGGAGTCGGACGGCCCCCAGCCTCCAGGCCAGGAGCCGCGAAGGCCCGAGTGCTCCCTCCAGCAGTCTTGGGGAGTAGGCGCGCAGCCAGCCGTGAGGTAGCGCATGTAGTTCGGAGAACACAGTGGCCTGGACTCCGCGTGGGCGGGGGGTGGTTTTCCCCAGCAGTGCTTGTACACACATTGATCAATTTTTTTTTTTTTTTTAAATTTTGGTATCGACATTGTATTTGCCAGGCAGGCTCTGATACTGCTGATCTCTCTTCCCAGCTTGATCACTCGTTTGTGTAGCTAATATCCCACTGAAAATTGGGGGATGTACAGTGTATCATGTGACTAGTGACGCTGAGCGACTTGGCATAGATCTGTGCCCAGTGACTGCCCAATCCACTGTTCCACTTATTTTTATAAAGTGGAGGACTTACTGCTTCAGAAATATTTTAAATCAAAAACAACGTGAAAGATATAATTTTGGGCTGGTCTGATGAGCTCAGCGATCAAAAGCACCTGCTTAGGCAGAGCGCAGCAGCCAGGGGTTTGATCCTCAGCAAGGCCGGACCAGCATGCAGGGCGTGCTGAGATGGCCATTGAGACTGGGTGTAGTGGGGGTGAACCTGTAATCCCAGCATTAGGAGGCTGAAAACAGAAGAATCACTACGAGTTCAATCTATGTAGTGAGACCCTGTGGACCTTGCCCTAAGTACAGAAGAAAAAAAAATTAAAAAAGATGTAATTGGGATGACATTTAAGGCAGGGTAGTTCCACAAGTGACAGGGCCACAAGACCAGAAGTGACCTAATTCAGATGCAAAATTTAGGAATGGAGTTCAGGGGCACAAATACTGATTCTGAGTAATTTTTCTTTTTTAAAATTTTGTTACTGTTTTTGTATAGGGAGTTCAACTCACAACCTTGCACTTGCCAGGCAGGCACTATGCTGCCAAGCTATATCTCTAGTCCCTGAGTATGAGTTTTTTTTTAATTCTTTTTTTTATTAATAAAGTTGGAACACGGGTGCTTGGAATCAGCTTTGCAAAAACAAGTGTTTTGGAGGCTCCAGAAAGCTTGGACAATGTTGTCATACACTGCGCTGTATTTTTAGCATGTATATGGAAATTAGAAGTTCAGTATATTGCAGTAAAATCTGAAAGTTATTTTAGCTTTTTTAAAAAATTTATGTGTGTGTGTGTGTGTATGTGTGTGGCCAGCTCAGCCCACCAGGGGGTGGGGCTGGCTGGCATGTGGTGCTGGGGGATTGAACCGCGGTCCCTGTGCTTCAAAGCTTGTTCTAAGTAGGTATTTTAGACCACTGAGCCATCTCACCAGCCCTATTTTAGCTTTTTAATTGGACTTATTTTTGTGTCATGTGTACATAAAATTCTGCCATATGAAAGTGCTTGAAAGCAGAAATCAGAGGTACAATCTGAGTCAGCTGAATTAGACCAACTCACTTTGTAGTATTATTGAGGTAAACATGCATATGACTGCATGGTGAAGAAGATTACAGGGAGCTAAGAGGTCAGTTAGAAGTTTGAGTAGGTGTATAGGCAAGGTGTGCTAATGGTTTGAAAGGACATGGCCACAGTTTTAGATCTGCTCTATGAAGTTTATCAAGAGGATAGTGCTGCTGAAGTGAGAGCAGTAGAAGTCAGTGCAGAGGAAGACATAGTCAGTGCAGAGGAAGCAGATAGTTGGTGGAAAAGATACCAGGGCTTGGTAGGCAAACAGTGCATACTGTATGTACAGTGTGCATGATCTATAAGGACAGGATGGGAGTGCCTGTTATAATTAGCCACAGATCACAGAATAACCACAGTTCTGTTTTTAATGTGCCATCAGAGAACCTAGATTCTATCATATATTTTTCCTTTTGTTGTATTTGTCACCTAATATTTGTATAGGGGCTCATCAATGTTAAGTCACATAGATTTTTTCTCTGAACCGTTATAATGAAATTATTGGAGTGTAATTACCACCAAAGGATGTATGTCAAATAAATAAGTAATCATCCAGCTAAAATTGTGATAACTGATATGAAGGCAAGAGTGTGGAATGTTAAAGGCACCTACTTAAAAGGGAGCAGATGTAGCCTGCAGGTATTTTCAAAGATTAAGATGTATCTAGTCAAAATCTATAAGTGTTTTCTCTTTTTAGCAAGTTAGCTGTAATTCTCCAGTGATCCCACCTCTGATCCAATCACCAGTCTCATTCCTTGTTATTGTTGAACTTGATCTCCCCTTTCTTAAGCATTTCAAATGTATTTTACCAGTGGGTTGGGTAGTAAGTTGGAAAAACTTTCTATAGCCAAGACTTTGCAAGGATCTTTCTCAAGACTATTTGCTGCATTATGGTAACTAAATGTGAACTAAATGTACATTTAAGTTTATTCATGCATGTAGTTACCTTTAAGCAGAGAAAAGAGTTGGGGACTGGCAAATCTATGGTCAGCCACAGCCATCTCAGACCTAGCCTCTTAACATCCTTAAATATATTCACAGCAAACACAAGTTCTGTCAATTCTCATCAGGTGATGTGGTAATAGCTAATGAAAGCTAGTCTTTTCTTTTTTTCTTTCATTTAAAATTTTATGTTCTCAGGGTCAAGCAACCAGGAAATAAGCATCCACTCCTGAATCTGCGGGGAAGGAAGGTACTATCACGTTTGCATTTATATAGCACTACAATGTTCAATAAGTCCTTTTACAATCAGTTTTATTGTTCAGTTTAAAAGATAGCCTAAAATCACCTCTGTTGAAATGTGTTTTGTATGATTCAGAGCTCTTTTCTTAAAAATGGGTCTTCTATGATGTACAACTTTAAAATCAATCAAGAATAAATGGAATATAAAACAGTGTTATCTGAAGAGAATAAGCTATTAATAAAAACTTTTTGTTACTTGTGCTAACAATGAAGGAGAATAGAAACAAACAGAAATCACAGTAGTAGAAATACAGCCTGCCTTAAGATACAGTTTGTAAGTGGGGCAATCAGGGATGTTAAAAAACAATCGGTGTCTTTTAATAGACCATCCTTAAAGTATTATTTTTTAGGCAAAATTTTCTGTGAAGTGAAAAGAGTATTTCCAGGTTTGTGGGCCATAGTATTTATATTAGAACTACTCACCTGTGACATTCTAGTGCAAATGCAGAGTTCAATGAATGAGCATGGGTTTTTCAATACAGCCTGGTTTATAGAGGGATGATACCCTAATTTGACTGGTAGGTCATAGCTTACTCACCTATTTCAGTATCTCTGAGATTCTGTAGTGAACAGGAAGTGGTACAGATTAGAATGATTGATAAAAACTCCATGAGGACAGTGATGGATTTATCTTTTTTTTCTTGTTTGCGATACTGGGGATTGAACTCAGGACCCTGCACTTGCCATGCAGGTGTTTATTCTACCGAGCTATCTCCCTGGCCCAGTGATTGATTTATCATGTTGACTGTTGTATGTTGTATTTTCATGTCTAGCACAGCACCTGACAGGTAAGGAGTGAAACACAACTCCTGAAGGAATAAATGAATAGCGAGGGTGTCTGACAGAAAATTGCTAAACGTAAGCTAGACAATTCTGTGTTCAGATTTCTTGGTTCTGTAATAAAAAAACTACCATTTTAGGTGGAGCAGACAGTGCATTTATTACTTAGTTTAAAGAACAAAGGCAGGGAAGATATCTGAAGATTGATAAAAATAATACTGAGAAGTTGTGAGCCTCTACCACGAAACATTCAAATTAATACTCCCTGGAAGGGAACTTTTGGAGTATCTTGGTCTCTCTTACTCTGGAGCCTTCATTGTCTTAGTATTGTGTAACTTTGTTAATGTCTGTGCTATACTGTCTCTTCCTCCTTTGTCTTTGGATACTTTCCAAGTTCTGCTCAACCTGCAGGTTCTTGTGGCCTCCCAGCCTTAAGACTGGGTCACAACACCAATTTGAGTCTACTTCTCATTGTTGGCTCTGGCTCCCTCTCCCTGTCCTCCTTTTTTCCCTCCCTCCTGTCTCTTTTCATTCCTTTCCTCCTTCCCTCTCAGGGATTTTATAAATCATCTTAAGTTAGTTTGTAAGTGTATAATTTTGCCAGTGTTTGTAATGAAAGTCCAATTTAGTTTATAACAAACCTACACATCTGTCAGCTTCTTTAATTTTTCTTTCTGATTTTTTTTCAGTGAATTCATTCCCTACTTTAATTTTGATTAGATTGCTTTCACCAAGGCAAAACTCTGGAAACAAATACTTTTAGAATTAATGTGTGTTATTTTCAGATGAATGAATAGAAGGAACACAATCCACTAGAAAGTAATTTTGATTGTTGTAGAGAGATTTTACTTTCTTAATCTTGAACGTAGTTGTTGGAAAATATATTGTTTATTAATTTCTTTCCCCACATCTTCCTTTATTCATGATTATCTCCTACAAGATTGAAAAAACTATACTTGTCATTCTTCTGAAGTTCTTCTAAAGTTCTTCCACATAGGTCTTCTGATAGCTAGTTATTTATGATTCTTTCCTTTCTCTTTTATTACTTACAGTGATATTAGGAAAAGCTGCTTTATCTTCTAAACCATTTGTATACTCATCGAAAGTTTCATTATTTGTGCCTTAGTATCTATTTTATTTATTTTCTGATTTTTCTGTCCTTTGTTCCTCAGATTAAAAACTTGTGAGAAAAGGAGGATTTTTGTCTCTCTTACTTGGCATACAACATCATTGGTGCTCAATATTTTCTGATAGATTGTTAAGTTTGTTATTATAACCTATC